CCCCAAAACCCCAAAACCCCAAAACCCCAAAAAGCATAAAAATTATTGAAAAACAATTTAAAAATCAAAATGTCTAATAAAGATTACAATTCAAACCAAGTAATCATCAGCATAGACAACCTTGGTGCCAAAATCAAGCCCAAAAATACCGAAAGCTTCGAAGTGAGCCCCTCTCTATCCCAATTCTAACCTCCCAAACCTTAGAAATCCACTCTATTCAACTTCCAATCACCCAAATCACACAAAGAACCCTCAAATCTCTCGTTCCAGTACCTTTCTCCTCACTCTTAGACCCAAAGTAGTCCAATTCTCCATGTCAAAATTCTCCAATGGTCCTTCAGAACCCTTCAACCCCTTCAAACACAAATAAACAGTCCACGTTCCTGACCTCCTACAAACAGAAGCTAACTAAATAAAATTCTGAAGAACTCTGAAATATTGTAAGCTCTTAGTATAAGACCAGTATGGAAGCATATTGGCCCTCTTAGAAATATAAACACAAGCTATTCTGACTACTCTAAATGATAGAACTTTAAGATCCATCCCATGGGATGTCCCCTTTTGTATAACAATTTTGAACCCGCATGCTAATTTTCAAGTATTCAGTACAACCTTTCAGCGACTGCATTTAAACCAAATTCTACCCAAAATGTTCCTTATTTCCCCTAAATTCCCCTATCTCCAACTTAACCCCCCTCTAATCTTACTAGACTCCACAAGAAGACCAAAAACTTACTGTACGTACACTTCTCAACACTCCAATTTCCCCTATCTCTTCCCCGCATCTTCCCCATCTCTCCAAACCTGCCCCCCAAAGCAGTACTTTCTCCTCGCAAAAATAAATTTCTTCTGCAACAAAACGACTAACAGAGATATAGGTTCACTAAGAAGTCAACTAAGTTCAAGAATATGGGGAATAAGAGGAAGAAGAAGGATTCTGTACCGGTGAGTGGGGGTTTAGGGACTTTAGGGCTTGAGATTGGGGGAGAAGGAAAGGGGCAGGGGGAGGGAATATTGGTGGGGGAGAAATGGGAGTTTGGGGGGAGGGGTCTTGGCGTTGGGGATTTTATGGTGTTTTTAGAAAGAGACGATGTTTTATAAGCAGCTGGACAGTAATTGGAAATAAAATATTTGAATTTGTACTTGACTTTGATTCTGCAAAGGCGAAGGAGTTTAGAAGAAGATTGGAGCTGTATGAGAACGCTAAGACTAAGAAAGGATCAACTAGAGTAGAAACTGAGAGCTGGCCTGTTGATCTAGATGATAATGAAACTCTGTTTAAAATTATTTATAAGAAGAGGAAGAAAATGAGTAAGCTAAGGATTAAATTTTAGAACTAACTCTGAAAGAGAAAAGTTATGTAAGATCTTGTTTAATATTAGCTTAATCATTTTAAACAAATCCCTACAAATCTCCTGAGCATTCGGGAAGGATACGATATTTGTAAAAAGAAGCAAACTCAGATAAAATAACTGGATAATCGATCTCAAGAGCAAGCACGAAGTTGACAAAACAAGAGATTCTCTCTTAAAGAAAGTATTTAAGCATCATCAAATATAGCTAAAATTAACAAAAGTCAAATCAAGATGACTATCTCCCGTGGAGAAAAGAATTAAACTAGACTTTAGTAGTGAAGCTCATAAAGCAATCAATGGTGACCACAAACCTAAAAGGTGCGCTTCTAGGTAATCAATCAACAAATCTTTAGGAATTCTCTTATGGAAAGGCATCATCAAGTACAATCATTTGATATCTCAGGATATAAATCAGCAGGAAAATTAAAGACTCAAGATTCATGAAAATAAGATGTTTGCATCTCGTCTCAGCTGATTAAAAATGAGAAAATAATGAACTAATAATGGTAAAAGAGTGCATAACCCATAGAATTGTCCAAGATCGTTTTCAAATATTAGAGATAAAAGTATAAATAAAACATATAATTCCTTTTAGCAAAAGCAATTGATAAAATATGCTCAAAACTAACACTGAAGAATATAGATTCATTTCAGAACTGTAGGGAGGTACTAAAAGATGACTCAAAAGCTATGAGGATAATTCAAGACATTAAAAGGATATCTCAAAGTTATATAAGGAACTCCCAGATGTCCAAAGGGTATGATTTCACCAGTTGTAGCCCAGTTGGAAGTTTCATGACTCCCTAATTTCACTAAATTTCAGATCAAAAGCATTAAATTATAGTTGACAAGTATTAAGGGGTTTTGGGGTTTTGGGGTTTTGGGG